TTTAAAATCTGATGTACTCATACGGTTAAAATTATTAAATAGCCACTTATCCTCCATTTGCAAATCTGTCAATAAATGAGATCCTCTATAAACCGAACGACTTTTGAATAAATTCGTTGCTACCTTCTTTTTCTACGCTTTTTGGTTTATCATTTTAACATAGAGAAATGCAACATAATAACCAATTCATCAATATCCATAATTAGCAATAGAAATACGAACCGCAGCGCAATGTTCGCGAACCAGACTTATTTTTGGTGCAGACGTCTTGTTCGAGAACAGTTAGCAAGCAGCTCGGTATAGTTCGCGAAGCGCAATTTTGGTCTGTACACACCCTAATGTGCTAACGAGCAGTATTTCTAGAGTGTTTCTGATATACCAGGTTTAGATATAAAAGCTACCTTTATGAGCCTTCATAATTTTGGTATGTATCCAAGTCCTAAGCTAGCCTGTAGTATTATACATATATATATTTTATGCAGGTAGTTATTTTCGTGCTATTTAAGTATAGGATAATTCAATTTATTCCCCGTTTGATTTTCTACTGGTACACCACTTCTTTTAAGCTCACGGTACCCAGTCGAATCTACAGCCATGTGTCTAGTGGTATCAGTTTTGTTTTTAAGAGTTGTTTTTACACCCAATCCTGGCAAAACTGAACAAGAAAAAGCTAGGTATCTGAGGCCGATATTAGAGATGGCGTATTGACGTCATGGGTGGACTGATAGCGATGACAGGCATCATGTCTTGGACTGTGCCGATGATCTGGTAATCTTAGCCCATGGCAAATTTAATGAAACAGTCAGAGATATATTGCAACAGGTTCTATTTAGGGCTCAACATCAGCTTCCATGAGGCCAAAATCATGAACTTTACCAGAAGGAGGAATTTAGAGGGATTGGGCCCTCTAAACCTACATAGTTCACATTTAAATTTAGTAAAAGACTCAAGGCTTACTTGGAATCAGATAGAATAAATAACCAAAAGAGAGCGGTAGGGCTACCAGAATCCTCTTTAGCAATTAAGAAACTAACCAACGACGCGACAGCTTCCATTTGCATAAAAAAACTAAAATAATTAACAGCCAAAATATATTACAAGACTCTGGTGGTAGAGTTTTAAGTGATATTAAAGAGCGCTAAAAATTAAAAATACAATTACATAGAATGAAGTAGAATTATTTAAAGATGACTGGAGAATCTACCAAAAAGTAACATATAACCGAGATACTGACCCATCGATTCTAATCTCAGAGGTTCAGAAGGCCATCGACTAAGCGAAACAAAGGAAAGCTTCTGATCCTGTCAAAATACCTGCAGAATTGATACAACTATTAGACGATGAGAGCGTTGCGATTATCATCTCCTTCTTTAACAAGATGTACAGCAGCGGTAAATTACCAGACAACTGGTTAGAATCAACATTTATATCTACTCCCAAGAAAAGGAATGCCAGACAGTGTAGCGACTATCGACTTACCAGTTTAATGAGTCACACGCTCAAAATTTTTATGAAAGTATTGCATTGTCGCATATATAAACTTTGTGTATGGGCACTCGAGAGGCTCTTTTTGCTCTTTTGAGGGACTTATAAAAGAGCATTGAGTTCAAGAAAAATATTTACGTTTGTTTTATAGATTTCAAAAAATTCATTAATAGAGTCTCAACTTACACTACTAGTTAAATGGACTCAGTTGGTCTGGAGACGTATGACATTAGATTGCTTAAAAAGCTTTACTACAATCAGACCGCTTGTATTAAGATGGAGGTTTCAGGTAAAGTTTCTATTAAGCGTGGTGTCAAGTTTTGATTCAAAAATGCCTGGATCAACAGAAAGATGTTTACGTCTGTTTTATCGACTATGAGAAAGCATTCGATACTATCAAACATGACAAACTCATAGAACTATTACGTCTTTCAGGACTTGACACTAAGGACATCCAGATTATAAAAAATCTATATTGGAATCAAACAGCCCACATGAAGAATGGACATATGGTGAGTGAAAACATAACCATTTCTAGAGGGGTAAGACAGGGCTGTATTCTTTCGCCACTGCTTTTCAACCTGTACACGGAACAAATATTTCTAGAGGCACTAGAAGAGTACAATGAGGGCATCAAGATTAATGGCGTACCAATAAGTAATTTTCGATATGTAGATGATACTATTATACTGGCCGATAACATCGAACATTTACAGATGATGCTACATAGAGTTAATACAACTGGCAGCCGATTTGGACTGAAGATCAATAGAAAGAAAACTAAATTTATGGTGATCAGTAAAAAAAAATTTCAACATATCGACCTGCATATTGAAGACGAACGTATTGAAAGAGTACACCGATTTAAATATCTGGGATATACAGTAAATGACAAGTGGGACCCAGAAGTAGAGATTAAGATCCGAATTGAAATAGCAAGATCCAAATTCATCAAAATGAGAAAGCTCTTAAGCAACCGCAACCTAAGCATTAACCTCCGATGGCGCGCCACGAAATGCTACGTACTCTCTACGCTACTTTACGGCGTAGAAGGGTGGACGCTAACAGCAGCAACTATAAAGAAGTTAGCGGCTCTAGAAATGCGGCTGTATCGACGCATACTGAGAATACCTTGGACAGACAGAGTGACCAACACAGAGGTATTAAGACGAATGGGTAAAGAGGTGGAATTGTTAACAACTGTTAAAAGGAGGAAAGCGTCATACCTGGGCCATGTGTTCCGTAATGAAAGTACAGTCTGCTACAGCTTATCGTGGAAGGCAAGATTGAAGGTAGAAGAGGTTTGGACAGAAAGAAGAAATCCTGGCTGAGAAACTTGAGAGAATAGTTTCAAATACCAGAAGCTGCGAACATAATTCATGCGGCACAAAACAGAGAAACCTATCGTATGATGGTCGCCAACCTTCGGTAGAAGACGGCACATAAAGAAGAAGAAGTCAGACAGGGATGTGTTATGTCACCGATGTTGTTTAATGCCTACATGTGATTATTAATAACATCAGATAGGCCGATGACACCGCCGTAATGGTAGAGAGCCTAGAAGACCTTCAAACTCTGTAAACAACGAATGTACTGAAAAGAGCTTAACAATCAATACATCATCATCATCATCCAGCCTCTATTTATTACGTCCACTGCTGGACATAGGCCTCCCTTAAACTCCTCCATTCCTCACGATTTTGTGCTCTTTGTTGCCAATTTTTAGTGATACGCCTGATGTCGTCGGCCCAACGTGTAGGTGGTCTTCCTCTACTGCGTTTGTCTGCTCTTGGCCTCCAATTTGTAATTTTGCTCGTCCATCGTGAATCGTGCATTCTCGCTACATGGCCTGCCCAGTTCCATTTTAGTTCCGTTATGCGTTCCACAACATCAGTAATACTCGTCCTACAACAATCAATACAAATAAAACAAAATGGATGGTGGTCCGAAAAATTAATATCGAAGACTAAATAATAAAATTAGATAACAAAATCCTGGAAAGGGTGGAACACTTTAGATATCTGGGTAGTTGGATTGACTGCGGGGTTGAAAGTGACAAGGAAATTTCGACCAGAATAGAACTTACACGAAAAAGCTTTATTAACTGGCGTTCTGTATTGTGCAGTAGAAGTTTGTCATTAACCACAAGTCTAAGAGTATTGAAGTACTACTTCTGGCCCGTTTTGTTCTATGGATGTGAAACCTTTACAACAAAAATCTTAATAAATTAGAAGCATTCGAGTAGTGGTGTTACCGTCGCATGCTCAGAATCCCGTGGACAGCACACATATTTAACGAACGTGTGCTAGAGACCATGCACCAAGAGCGAGAATTGATCAAATCTTCATCAAAATGAGAAAGGTCCAATACATCGACCATATATTGAGACGACCTAAATATCGCTTACTCCGGTTGATCATTTGGGGCAAAATCGAAGGAAAACGCTGGGCCGGAAGAAAACAACTGTCCTGGCTGCGTAACGTTGGACAGTGGACAGGTTGAACGGTCGACGAATTGTTTCATCTAGCCGCCGAACGAGTAACATTTCATTAGCTTGTTAAAACGACCATAGCCAATGCTTGAAAACAAGCACGACACATAAAAAAGAAGAGGGAATGCCGAGAAGAACTCGACAGACTGCTGTAAATGTATATTGGATTGACATGTGCTAATAGGACAGAAGTACTGCAGAAAACAAGCAGGTATCAGCTCAGTACTTCCTTACTGGACATGTGCCAGTCTAGGTACACCTGCTTACAATGGAGCTGTTTCATTGCTGAGTCCGTATGAAGAAATGAAAGATGTAAAATAAACTAACTGGCTGCACTACAACCGGATTATAACAGACGGCTTCCGTGAAAAAGTCTGCGCTCAAATTGATTAACTCTGGCAAATTTTATAAAAAGCTGACCTAAAACGTTACGTAAGTTGAAAATAGGTTATCAAAATTTACCTTGATATATGTAGTGGATGAAGATCTTTTGCAACAAAATTGAATTGTTTAATAATCACTTTATTTCTTGAAGCTGGCAGCGATTTAATTACAAATTTTTCGAAGGCGGGTTGACAGTCTGTTTTGCCTCTACCAGCAAGATGTTAAAGACAACATTTCTGTCACTTTACTATTTTTGCTTGACAACAAGCCACAATTTTACTTTAAAATAACTTTATTTGATGTTTCGATTTTCAGTTCTCCAATTTTTGTTGTCATCAACAACTCCTTCTATTAATTCCAAATTCACCCACACTGCTCTTTTTGCATTTTCATGTTTAATAAATTTATATCTTTCGTCAGAAAGATCTTTTCCAAGTCGTTTTCAGTTTCCTCTTATGATTTCAGTACGACAAAGCTACAATAAAACATGAAATGTAACCTGTCGAAGGTTCAAACCTAAAATGTGCGTAATACTGCTATCGTGCTCGACAAGTTCCGTACCATAAACCGCCAAAACATGCAATGGACGGAGCAATGTTTCTACCCTTTTTAGTAAACAAAAACAGAATATATTTTTTAGTTCCCATCAACAACGATTTAGAACGAAAAATAGCTGATGCATTCGAAGTATTTGATCACTCTCAAAGCAAAATGATAGATGTAAGGGAAGTATCAACAGTTATCAGAGGGTTAGGTTGCTGTCCTTCTGAAGCAGAAGTCCAAGAAATTATTGTAGGACTAGAGGATCCCCAATATCCCGGAAGTGTACACTTGCTAAAATTTTTACAGTATGTGTCCCAACTAATCACAGAACACAAGTAAGTTTATAAGATGTTAATATGTTGTTGTTCTTCTTTATTAGAGTCAATTGATATTTAGATATGAGCCTGCTTCACCAGAGGATCTTTTAGATGCTTTCCAAACTTTGGATACTAAAGGACTCGGTTATTTGACTAAAGAGGAAATTTCAACATATATGACTCAATTTGGCGAGCCATTTACTCAGGAAGAACTTGAAGAGATGTTAGAAATAGCAATAGATCCGCAAACGAAAACGGTACCCTACGAATATTATATAAATCAATTAATGGTGAGTAATAATTACACTGTGGTTTACATTTGTGAAGTGTTCTTTTGTTCTTAATATTCTCTATCAGTCTGTTTAAAAAATAAACCAGCTTTATATGGGAAAGGAAACATCAAGTGTATATATATTTTTATTTTCAGGTATTCATCCTTGGCTTACAATTATTTTGTGTATTTTTCATACAAATCGCTTATTAAAATATCAAAAAATATAGAATTATTATGTTTTTCTATGACCAACAGCCTAGGTTCGATTAGACATTTTGGTATATTCAATAATTATAGTTTAGCAAACACTACATTAGGATCTTTTGTTAACTGAGCAGTTGCTGCTTTGACGATGTCCTCGCTTTGGAGATTTAATTGATTGAGGAATTTCTGAAAAATACATTAAATGATTAAAATATGTATCACACTATGTGAATTTAGAAAAAAATGCTTTTTGAATTATTACGCATGTCCCAAAAGTTTTCGGAAAAAATAAATATGTATTTTCTAATTGTAAATTAAGTTAATTTTATTAACTAAATACATAAAATTCAGTATACATATTTAAGGTTTATAATGTATTTTTATAGAACAAAAAGACGTGATCTTCGATGGCATGTAAATTTAACCTTTCCGGTCTGTTTCCGAATTGTTTCCAAAATTCTTCGATTTAGCTGATCTTCATTTTGGGCTTCCCAGCCACTATTATACACCATTCGACTCAAAACAGACCAAAACTCTTCTATATGCCTCGCATGAGGCACATTTGGAGGGTTGTTGCGTTTAGGAACAAAATTTACATTTTGAGCAGTTAACCAATCTGTCGTTCTCCTGGCGTAATAGCATGACGCTAGATCGGGCCAAAATATGATTTCATCATTGGGGTGATGAGTATTTAAAAATTGAACAAGCCTTGTAAGATACCTGTCAACGTAATTGTCAGCATTGAGAGCTTCACCGCGAACACGCCCAATAAACGGCTGTGAAACAACAGCTTCTGAGATGGCACACCATACCAAAATTTTATCAGCAAATTTCACTTTTTCCTTAAACCTAACTTCGTCTGGTGCATCTTGTACATTGTTTATATAAAATCCGTCGTTGCTCTTCATTTCGGAATTTGATAAAGTAAAATACTTTTCATTATCAATAATGAGAATTTTATCAGAAAAATGAATACGTCTCAGTGCACGGCAATATCTAGGAATTTTTTTAACTGGGCTCTTAGGAGCTTCCTTAAACCTAACTTCGTCTGGTGCATCTTGTACATTGCATATATAAAATCCGTCGTTGCTCTTCATTTCGGAATTTGATAAAGTAAAATACTTTTCATCATCAATAATGAGAATTTTACCAGAAAAATGAATACGTCTCAGTGCACGGCAATATCTAGGAATTTTTTTTAACTGGGCTCTTAGGAGCTTTTTTTCTTTTATATCGTTTTAAATTAAATTGTTCTACTTACAGTTATTCGTGAAACATTTTATCTTCGGCCAACATTTCGCAAAGACTTTCCTAATTGGTTCTCCATACTCTGAATTAATCTCTATTCCCGAGCAGGAGTTAAAACTCTTGGTCTTTCACTTTTGGGCAAATTAAGGCATGATATACCATTTTCGCACTCTTTAATTGTCTGGTAAATCGTTGCCACAGGAATATTTTTTGCAATAAAAATTTTTACGGTATCGTGTTTTGGTACATGTCCAACTAAACGATAAATACATTGACGAATATTAAGTGGTTGAACATTAACTTATTTAAAGAATTGAAGGACGAAGAACCACCAGCCAGGGGCTGGAATGAAAAACAGATTAAACACTAACTTATATTTAATGCTAAGATTAAATAAAAATTTCTGATAGCCGTCAGAAAACACTGTGATATGGGATACTTCACTACACTTTTCATTGACGCTATATTCACTATTATATATAAATTACAAGTCGAATTTCTTAGCGGAATGTCGTTTCTATGTTTAAAGCGAGCTACTGGCAACACTGCTGGTTTGAATAGATGAACTGTCTTATATGAAAACTGCGGTTTTAGGAAACACTGGTTAGTATAAAGGATTGGCTCGATAATCATTACGAATGATAATGCGATGCGAACTACTTAGTTACAAATACATATAATATATTAATAAGCGAAGCGAGTATTTGCGAGCTAGCGAGTTTAGCTTACGAGATTTTGCGACCGACTTTTGTAATAGGTTTTTCTGAACTGACTGTGATAATATCCAAAATATGTAGGCAGGTAGCGGAGGGCTCTTACCCCAAGAAGTACCGTTAAATATCTTCCTTTATTCCTTCTAAGAATTACAATATCGGCATAGTTGAAAATTTATATCGAGTGGAATGGAATTTCACCATTAAATTTGTACGACATCTTAACGAATCGTGTCATTCAAAACTGACATTGTTTATATAGTTTTAAGTTGCTTAATAACTTTGGTTTCCAATTTTTGGTTTAAGTTGTTTAATAACTTTGGTTTCCAATGGCAACTTGATCCAATGCTTCATAGAAGTAATGGATTTTGACAAGAGCTATGACCTTGAAAATAACAGGTAAACTTGTGTACTGAATCGGCATGACTCATGGCTCTTGTTAAAATCCATTACCTCTACCAATAATACTTTTAAATCTAAAATTTTCCGAAAACTTTAGGGACATACGTTAAAATCGCAGAAATGCCAAACATTTCGACATTTAAGTGTAAAATCCACAACCGTGTAATTATGATTTTTTTCAATGGGTCAGTATTATCAATTACCGAACCCAACTACTGAATACGGATACTTTAAAAACTGGAACACTAAGCGATTATTGAAACCTCAATAACTGATTATATACAGATTCACAAGATTTAACATTTTTAAAATATCTAAGGTATATACACGTTTACTGAAAACTTCTCGGGGAAAACTACAAAACGTTATGGATATTTTTCCAAACTGTAGAGACTAAAAACTGAAGAAATGTGAACAAATGAAAAAACTGGAAATCAAATTTTATTTTGAGAACTTTCTGAAGAATAAGACAGATAAAAACAATGTGAACTAGGTTTCGATTTTTTTTTCATATTCTTAAAACCTTAGTTGTAAAATAGATATTTTAAAATCTCACGACCAGGCACTTACCAGGAAAATTTCAACCTCCTACTAAAACAGTCAATACTAGAATCAATTGAATAGAACTACAATATAATGGACACAATTGTCAAAAGAGAAAATAATGCAGGAGAATATGAAAACATTAAAAGTTTATAAAAAAAATAATCATTATCTGATTTTACATTATTCCTTTTCAGATTGACTAACTACGTTCAACTACCTGAAACTACAAGTGGGCAGAATATTGATGAAAATACTCACTATATGATCAAGACCCTCCTGTACACTGTGATCCCTAGAAAATATCAAACTCTGCTTTGTTGCTTGCACAGCAACTGGGCTCTTCTTTGCAATATCTTCAGCTACGTCAATAGCACCTTGTATTAATCTATAACATAATAAAATATGTTAGAAAAGATGTTAATTTATTTTGACCAATAATAAAAATTATAGTTTATTCGTCTTCCGGGTTTGGACCGTGTCATTTGTGAGTGACCCAAAAGTGGGTTCATCTCGACGTTTCGCTACAATTGTATGTAGCTTCTTCAGGAGAACAAAAAAAGGAACACAGAACACAGAACGCAGAACACTGCCAAGAAACCGGTCATTCCATATTGTTCGAAAAAAACCCATATTATTTCTAAAAGCCCCTTCTTTTATTCCAGGAAAATCCGCGAATCTCTAGAGATCCGAAAAAATCCCCATAATATCAATCGAGAGGAAGGATACTACTTGTCTCCCATCTGGAATCTCAGTCTAGAACCGCCGTCCGGTCCCGCCACTACGATGCAGCCACATGATTGGCCAGCGCGCGCTTCTTGACGTTCGCGCCACGAAGTGTGCCGATACGTCCCGACACGACAGGCACCGCGACTATAAATAGAGCGGTAGCGGAGTAATCGTCGGATTCACTCCCCGCCTCTCGACGCGTTAGTGTTCTGAGCTGTTGGACGTGAATCCCTGTCCTGGCATTTGGTTTTCATCTCTGGCTGCGTTGAGTAGTTGAGTTACTGTGACCAAATGCCCATGTTGGTAGTTAGTATTCGCCTCTGGTTGCGTTGAGTAACTGAGTTACCGTTGCTAACTACCCATCTTCCTGTTCTTTGTTTTCTTCTTTCTTTCCTTTTTTGTTCTCCTGAAGAAGCTACATACAATTGTAGCGAAACGTCGAGATGAACCCACTTTTGGGTCACTCACAAATGAGACGGTCCAAACCCGGAAGACGAATAAACTATAATTCTGACTCTGGCCGTGGAAGCCTACGATTTCAATAATAAAAATGTTTGATATTAAATGTTACTCACTCTCCTTGATTCCCAAATACTTTGGAAACTAAGCCACAAGTAAGAGCTTCATCGGCATGCATTTTTCTTGATGTATAGCACAGTTCCCTTGTTAAACTATCAGAGCCTATTACTTTCGGTAATCTTTGGAGAGAACCAACGTCAGCAGCTAGACCCACTTCAACCTGGATAAAACAATAATACCAATAATTAGCGATTGATTAGTTAATTAAGAGTGAAAATTGTAAGTAGATGTTAAAACGTGAAAAAATATATTAATGTAAATAATCGTTTAAATATATAAGAAGACTGATCATTAAATTCCATATTTTGAATTTCGTGGCAATGTCGCAACAAAGCGTTGTGCAGTTTGCGGCATTGTATTGCGACTCAGTCCTAACTCGTTAATTTTCCGATGCTCAATTGTTTTTATGTTCACGTAATATCTTTTTGTAAAAAAACTTAAAATATCAAATTCTGTATTAAATTTGGTAAAATTTAACCGAAACGTTTAACAAAGACCAGATAGCATTACGTGTACTCACAGGTTATATCTAGAAAAGCCTTATGGGAAAGAAAAGAGATAAGAATTGGTGGAGAAATCGTAAACACCATGAGATTTGCAGATGACAAGGTAATTATGGCTGAGAGTGTAGAAGAACTACAAACTTTACTAGATGCAATAAATAGTGAATGCATTCAAATGGGACTTGACATCAACACAGATACGATCAAATTTATGATAGTATCAAGAAGTCCAATAAATAATGAACAACTAACACTGAACCCTTGGTGGACAGCAAATAGAGAGAGTGAAAAAATATAAATATCTCGGAGGTTACATCAACACAGAATTAGATCGAGACCAAGAGATCAGAGTACGAATAAAAATGGCAAGGGCAGCGTTCTTAAAATTCAAGCAATTGTTCTGTTACAAAAATCTGAATACTGCGCTGAGACTGAGGTTTGTTGAATGTTACGTCTGATTCCAACTATTGTACAGGGGTAGAAACATGGACGTTAAAAACGCAAATAGTTAAGAAGTTTGAAGCCTTTGAACTTTGGATATACCGGAGAATGTTGAGAATTCCATGGACAGCCAGTGTAACCAATAAGGAAGTGCTGAGAAGGACGGATCGAGACAAAAAATTGTTGAGAACAATAAAAGTACGCAAGACTGCATACCTTGGACACATACTGAGGAATGATAAATATAGTCTACTGCAGGTCATCATGCATGGTAGAGTCGATGGCAAAAAGGGAATAGGTAGAAAGAGGAAGTCATGGCCTCGAAATATTCGAGACTGGACAAACATGACTGTAGATGAATTATTTCACGTTGCAAAAGACAGAGAAACTTTTAGAAAAGTGGTGGCCAACCTTCGTTAATGGGGACGGCATAGGAAGAAGAAGATGGCATTAACAAAAAACCCAAGTTCACTACGTCCTTTGACTTGACTGTTGAAGGATATTGTAGCGATGTTGCTTATTTTAACGTAGCCCATATAAGGTTTCATTTCGAGACGACAATAATCTGTGTTCGGAAACCTTCCGGATGTATAGACCGGGATGGAGATCGAGGGGCTAATGCTAGCGAATAGAGGTGGACTATTCCAGAATATTCTAGTACATAATAACTTGAATATATAAGTAAATGATCTTTGTAAAAAAAAATGAACATTTAAAAAGTACGTGTGTGCCTGACCAAAAATGCGGCTTACAGAACTATCAGTAAAACAGTCACGTGAACAATTATAAAAACGGAATGAAGACTACAGCGGGTCCAAGAAGATTCTTCAAGAACGACTAAAGGATTTTCTGAACACGAATGGAGATGACCAAAGAGATTCCAGTTATAATCAGCAGAAGAAGCAGTTTTAACGAAAATAATTGATGGAAAATTCGAAAATGTTTTTCAAATGATTGAAGAAATTTCTAGAAAAAATGATGAAAGATTCGATGAAATGTCTCAAATTATTAAAGGAGCAGCCAGACAAAACGACGAGAAATTCGAAAACGTTTCTAGAAGATTCGACGAAGTATGTAGTCAGGACAATGAGAAATTTAAAGAATTTTCTAGAACATTCTATAAGATAGAAGAGAAGATCAAACAGTTAGGGAGCATGATAACTAATACGAAAGCGCTACCAGCAGTGCAGTAGTTTTAGATCCTGTAGTGAAAGAAAAATCACCTAGAGACGAAACGACACATCATATGAGATTTTGCCACAATCTGATGGAAAGTCTTCTTGGTCCATATACCTTGGACATTTTGAAGCTATTACGACAGCCAATCATTGGACAGAACAAGAAAAGGCTGTTTCCTTGACTGCTGCTTTACGAGGTGATGCTGCGGATACACTAAGATCGATTCCTAAGGGTCAAGAAAAATGTTACCAGACCTTGTTCACTTAACTAGACAAGCTTTACGGAGATGCCAATCTACAACAAGTCTACAAAGTACAAATAAGAAGTAGAATTCAACGAGCAAGTGAGAATTTGCAAGAATTTGAAGCAGATGCTGCTCGTATAGCGCGGTTGACTTATCCGGAGGTACCAGACAACATTTTGGAAGACATTTCGGTAGATACCTAGATAACACGAAACAGCTAGTCGAGCTTTACGGAGCTATCGACTACAAACCTCTAAAGAGAGCGACGAACAAAACGATAAACGTCTGGAAGAAATCCATCGAGCAATAAGACAAAAGAGGGAATCTAATCCTTATGAAAAGGAGACCAAGAAAGTGGCCTCTGATGGCGGACATATCCGGAAATGCGAATGCGCGAAATTTAAATTTTCCGACACTTATCAACAGTAGCTATATAATATTTTTCAGAATGTGTCTTAGACGAGAAAGTTTTAATTAATTATTAATGATAAGAGTCTAAAATGCGACACAATTGTTAAAAAACTTCAATATAAATAAGATTTCATGTGACATTTGGGACAAACAATAACATAACCCCACTAAATTTGATGTCAAACAAGGAGAGAGACTCTCTTTCCTTGTTTAATGTGGCCTCTAAAGATCGCACTTTCTGTCTAACAATATGTTTGCCCCCACTACCTTTACATTCCCTCTATTGTCTTTTTGCTCGATGAGGAAATCGTACGGAAAGTAGTTCGTAACACGATGCTAAAGAGACGCGAAACCAGATGTAGGAATGGTGCGACATAGGTCACATTCGCCGTAAATTGCAAGAAAATAATACAACAGTCAGAAAGCTAGAACAGATCGAACACCGGGCTGGACAAAGTCATTCTCAACTCAGTCAAGACGGCCATGCAGTGCAAATTGAAATCACTGTCTTAAATTAGAAGAACGACTTTGCCCCGTGAGACGAACCACCGCCATTAATGATCAATGGCAGCCTCAACAGCTACAAGATGTTCAAGCAGATGATCCATGCATAAAAAGAGTATTGGATTGGATGCTTCGAAGTGAAAGACCTTCTTGGCAAGACATTAGTGCACACACTGCAAAAGGTTCGAGAACGGTTCTATTTGGTGAACTGTAAAGAAGATGTAACAAGATGGTGCCAGAAATGTGAACTGTCTGCAACCAGTAATGATCCAGTTGATAAAAAGAGGGTGCCCATGAAACAGTACAATGTTAGTAGTCCTATGAAAAGAGTAGCAATCGACAATTCAGGTCCACTTCAAGAGACCAATGATAGAAATAAATATATCCTGGTAGCTATGGATTAGTTAACGAAATGGACTGAGGCCTATGCGATACCAAATCAAGAAGCTGCTACCCTTTCTACCAGTACTTGTTAAAAAATTCTTTAGCCGATTTGGTGTTCCCTCGTAGATCCACTCCGACCAAGGGCGGAACTTCGATTCAACCCTTTCCCAAAACGTTTGTAAGGCGATTGGTGTTAATAAGACCAGAACGACATCCCTGCATCCTTGGATTGGTCGAGAGGATGAACCGAACAATGGGTAAACACCTGTCCAAAGTTGTATCAGAACATCAAAGAGATTGCGACCAGCACATTCATTTATTCCTAATGGCCTACCGCTCGGCCGTGAATGAAATTACAGGCCAGACTTCAACCTGCCTGATATTAGGTCGTGAAGTTCGTTTGCCCTACGATCTAGAGTTTGGCTGCAGATCTTCTGAAGAACATGTAACAGAAGATTATGTCGACCGCCTTAGGTTAAGAATCAATAATATTCATGAACTTGTCCGAAAACAGATCCAGTTAGCCAGTGACAGAATGAAAGATCAATATGACTTTCGATGCAAGAATGAAAGTTATGAAGTGGGTGATCTTGTTTGGCTTTATAATCCACAACGTCGTCGAAGCTTGTCTCCTGAACTGCAAAGACAATGGGAAGGTCCGTATGAAATTAAAAAGAGAATAAATGACGTAATACATCAAATTAAGTAGTTGCCGAAAGGTAAACCAAGAGTAGTTCACATAAATTGTTTTGCACCTTATGCTAATTCAAATGAAACGGAAGAAAGCACGAACTCTTCAACATGAGATCAAAGATGACCGGCGAACAAGCTTTAATGAATTTATGTCAAATTAACCAGAGAGAAAGAGTGCTAGATTCGGCGTGACCACAGAAGTTTAGTAGGATATTTTTAGTGTTCCGCATAACGTCTGTCTGTGTTGCCCAAGATCTTGAGATGACTAAAGGAATCTCATCCGTATTTTAAAAGAAGTTCGCTCGTTTGTACGAGTACCAACGAAGGTTGGAAGACTACTGAGATTAGAAGATGGTTCTCGATCTTTGCTGTATATGGTGACCAGGAAGTCGTATTCAGACAGGGCAAGCTACGAGGATATATGGCGTACTCTAACTAATTTGAAGAAAATCGTGTGCAATTAGGACATCAAGAATTTGGCCTAACCCAAGATAGGCCATGCACTAGAAAATCTGGATTGGAAGATTGTCAGAAACATGCTTGAAATGACCTTCCGAGAAACCGGCGTACGAATTACTGTGTATTGTTCTGAAGCTATTTTCTTGTGGCATTGTAAATTAATTACTATTTATAACTGGGAATAAGCCACAATTAAAGATAAAAATACGTTTATTGACGTTTCAATTTCCAATTCGGAAATCGTTCTCAAAATACAAACAGTAAATTAAACAAATTTTGTTTTTTGTTACATAGTGAAAAAATTCTTCTAATAATTTAATTTTATCTGACTCCTTTATATTGACAATTCAGACATACATTTTAAAGTAGACGATTTTAAAATGATATTGCCAATATTGTTGAGTTGCGCTCCTGGGACGACTTTACTTATAAGATAGTTCATTCGATTACATGAAATCAACTTTAACTTGAGAATATTCGTCAGAAAAAATCATAGCATGTAATTCGTCTTTAAAAAGACAAACACATGACATGATGACAGTAAAATTCTCCTGTTAGTGATTCCATAGTAAATTATGAGGGAAAACCCAGGAAAAAACTCATAATACATTTATTTAAAGTATCACCTTTCAAAAGGGCCATATAATTGATTTATAGGGATGCACTTGCCCCACTAACCTACGGACCAAGAGGGTTTGTGCCTATCCGATACAAAGGAAACACAGATCGAAACGAGGTATCATACTGTAAACATCTGCAGTTTATCAGAGTCGTAAAGGTCCTTTTGCGCCTCGGCGCACCGCCTTCGGTTTTCTACTCATATTTTTACTCCTCTTTATTTTACTCCGCTAGCTGCATTTAATACACCATACTCAAACGGTAAATAATTTTCCTTTGTACAGATAACATTAATGAGTTACGCCAGATATTTTCGTGATTTTTCAATTAATTTCTAATTTGTTCACAATCAAAATATTGCATTTTTTTTCCTTATTATTCTAATCATTTAACCAGTGAGCTCAATAAGTTTTACAAACAAAACAATTGAAAACATGTAAATTTTATCTTCTAAAAATTCAGAAAACACTAATGTTTATTATTGTTATTAACAATATTTACTATTGTCACTTACTTCCTTAACTTGAAAATATGCATCTTTTGTGCAATACCGAATATCAGCTGCAGTAATTAAGTCTACACCCGCTCCTATACAGGCAGAATGAATAGCGGCCAATACGGGTTTCTTGCACAGTTCTAAAGAACTCATACTTTCTTGATACAGCTGGATGAGCTTGGAGAGTACTTTGGCTTTGCGAGTTGGATCCTCGTGTTGTCCAGCTTCAGCCCCCTGTTGCAAAAAGCTAGTTAAATCGATTCCTAAAACAAAGGAATGCGCGTAATAAAAGATGTGATTATCATTATTGTTATGATATTAACACGTTGAACGCCGCGCGAATCATATACGATTCACTCTTATTTTACTTACAAGGCCGCGCGAATCACAATTGCTTCGCATGGTTTGTTATACTGTGGGCACCGCCACTCGTAGATGATTCGCGCTGCAATGATAAGTATATGGAAGTTTGAAATTTTTCCCCCGCAACAAATATTTTTGATTAGCACGGCCCTGCGAGTAATAAAACGTACTCGATATTGCCTAACATTATGTTTGTTCATTTCTGCCCCTTTACACCAATATGGACTCTAGATAATATGGTAAATAAAAGGTAATAGACACATTAGTTTTACAAAATGCTTTATTTCTTCAACAATATAAGAAACTGCTCACTAGGAGAATAATATAAATATAATACCGAAAAAGTGTTTGTATAGGAAGAAGTATCGCATTTTATATAAAACGCCTATAGAGTACAATTGTGGACATTTGTGAAACAACTTACAAAATAAAATTTGTCACATTGAACACATTTCCATCTAGTTTGCGTTGCTTTGGAAGTCGCGTACTTTCTGTTGAACTCTTCGGACAAATTCTTATAGCAAAATACGCATCTGCGACGATTATTTGTTTCTACTTCTTCCAAAATATGCTTTTCCCCAGACGAAGATCTTTCCTTTGGTTTTATTTGCAATAAATCTTTGGCTATTTCTTCTTTGAACTGAGTTATGGTAATATTACAGCCCATTACTTTTTTTTCCGATACCACGTTATATTTCTTCTAAGATAGGAAGCATAAGCCTTTATTTGGTCGGATAAATCTATGAAACTTTTGTTTTTCTTGTAGTTGATGACCACTTTTGGCTTTTCTTTCATAGTTCCATTTTTGATGTTACTGGTAGCATTATTTCCGTATGTTTTGTTGACAACATCAAAACTTCGCATTTATCACACCACTTTATTACTACAACTCCTGAGTCACTTTCTGCACTAATTACCTTCATATATGTGACAGTCAAGAAGCCTGTCACATAGTCCTAAAACAACCGAACTGGGAACACTAAGTACACTATTAGTTTTCTCGGTACCACAATAGATTTTAAAGTCATAAGTGTACCCATCATAACAAATAGAGCAAAGAAATCAAACAAGTTATACTATGCGTTAGCCCCAATAATGGGAAAAAGAGAACTTACACGAGAGACAAGAATAAAAATATAAAACACAATAGTGATACCGACTGTGCTATATGCAAGTGAAAAAACTGGACAATTCTGGAAAAACATAAGAGCAATGGAGATGAGACATCTAAAAAGGATAGTTGGAAAGACAAAATGGGATAGATTAAGCAACGAGACTATTAGGAGAATGGCCAACCAGGAATTGATAATGAACAAAATAGCAAAGATACAAATTAACTGGTATGGGCATCTGATGAGGATGCAATACAATAGAATAACAAGAAAAGTTTATGAAGCAAAGAACATCGGAAAAAGAAAAAGAGGCAGACCAAGAAAAAAATGGATACAGCAAGTAGTAGAGGCGGGAAAACTTAAACAAATATCACTCGAGGTATTGAAAATAATGGTACGAAACAGAAAAGAATAGAAGAGGTGAGTAAATGGAAATTAAAATAGCTAGCCCAAATCCGACACCCTGATAGGGTAAAAAGAAGGGGAGAAAGAAAGAAAGTGTACCCATCTTCTATACATAATTTTAAAAAATTTACACCAAACTTACGCCGTTTATTTTTGATAAATTATAGGAAAGATAGCCGACCACGAAAGGGAACTAAAACTTCGCTATACAAATGTTACGAGACGGCGATATAGTTTTGAAATTTTTGTCGGATGTGATCTATGAGCAATTTTATCTTATACAGCCTTGTGGAAATATGTGAATTTTCATTATCAGTAAAATGCCAATTATTCAAATCTGTTTCTTGACATGACTTGTTTTATTTCATTGAAGTATAGCACATTAGAAGATTAATACGAAGATAGTTTTGGCATTTGAACAAGCCCAATCCAAATTTGTAATCCCAAAAATATTTTTATTTCATCTATTTTGTATCTTTCCATTTTCTTATTCGAGCATTAGGTAAAAGTGCTTTGTCAGCTTTTTGGGTGGCATATATATTTGTCTCGTTGGCCATTATAGTAAGAAGACTGTAATCCACAAATAGGTAAAAGAAATCTATTGGTTTTTTTCTCTCGCATATTTTCCACAATATCAGAGTTTATTTTTAAATTATTAGCAAGAAGCGGAAATGTTTTCAAATTGTTACCTGTGATTGCACTCCACTGTAAATTGCTAGAACTTGTATCTCAAACAAGTATCTTGTCTGACGAACAATCACTGCCCCATTGTAATTTCTTTATAACACCCTCAATGATTTCATCAACGTGAGAAGAATGACTTGTATTTTGACCTAACTTGTCAACTTGCTTGCTGCTTTTATTTACCAACTGCTGTTGGCCAGCTACTTTCGAAGCCAAAAAAATGTTTTTTTTTATGACATACTTTTTTTTTCTTCTTTACATTCGAGCAATGTTCAGAAGAAGAGGTATCACTATCACTATTTACATACCTTTCCGATGAATATCCGAATGTTTCTTCATCTGACAAAATTTCATTCCTCATTTTTTCAAGTTGAATTTGTTTTTTTTTTTTTTGTATTCGCCCATTATAGATACATAATTTATTGCACTTATTTAGACAACGACGAGAAATAGACTGAATGCTTGTAATATAAAGCTATGATAATCGACTACGACCGACAAGTTGATTCCTGTCGGCGTGAATCATGGATGGGTCGCGAGGCCTCGAAGAGAGATTTGGTACGGGAGGCCGCGTGGTGCATACTTGCTTGGGGGTTCAAAGTACGATTTGGAAAAAAAATATTGATGTATGTTTATGTATGGAATATTCATAACATATAAATATGTTTTGAGTAAAAAATATCCTTGGCACCAAAAATCATTTATATTATATACATTACGGCATTCAACGTGTTAAAGATATTTTTCACAGCAATGTTATGGTTTCGTAACCTATCTAAAAATAACTAAATTTAACTAAACTAAAATAACTAAAATTGGAATATTACCTACTTAAAAAAATATTTATATTTTTGAATTCGTAGTGACATAAATTAAATTTATTTGAGTGGCTTAAGATTTTAATAAATAAATGCTGTTATTTGAGAAGGACCTATAGGCGAAAAATAATTTTTACATTTGCCCAAAAACTACTAATGTCTAAATTTATTTATATAGCATGTAAGAAAAAAAAAACATATAAGAATAGAAAATAAAATGCCATTACTTGGGATGTTTTACCGTAAAGGGTAAATTAAGAACAAGTTAAAATTTAGCAATATCGAGAGAACTGAAATAGAGGAAATTAGAAAACTGAAAATAGAGATAACGAAGCATATCATAAGATTTTAAATATTTATCATGACAATAATAATATTGGTAGATCTAGCAAAGAATAGTCAACAGAAATCCAATACTTTCCATTTTCAATATTTAATATCTCAATATTTGCTCCAAACACTTCAGATTTTGTGAACAATTAAAATAATTTGCAATTTTTGAGAACATACTTAAAGAAAGATCAATTTAGTTGGATATTTTTAAGATATCAAAAATACATTACCACTAGTAAACAATTTTCCTTCTCCTGATAGAACAACAGCTCTGCAATTTTCATCATCACTTATTTTTTGAAAGCAGTCTTTAATTTCTCTGTAAAAAAATTTTATTAAATACAGTAATATTCCCTATACATAAGAAGAAAGATAATGTAAGGTAATTATGGAGAAACCCCAGCACAAACACAATACATTTTTTAATTTCTAATTGAACTGAGCTGCCACTATGCTTCTGGTGATATGTAAAACTATTAGTTGTGGCTACATTAGTAGTAGTTAACACTAAAACCTGAGTCAGAATTATAAACAAATAGAAGATGAACAATGAGCCAATTAGAATTAGATGCAGTAGAACCAGTTATAAAAACAAACCACTTCTGAAACAAAAATTATGAAGGAATATTTTAAATATAATTTACTAGAAATGCCAACGACAAAGTGGTATCTATAATATATACATAGAAAAATACTGGTGAGAAATTAAATGGAAGAAACTGATACGATTGAGTATTGAGCAATCTGGCACAATTGTGTAATTTAACCAAAGTATTTGCTGAGTAAAAAATCTCTGCTATATAAGTATAGTAAAATATTATATCTGGTCTAATTAACTATTTAGTTTTAACAAACTAAAAATAATTAAAAATGTTCACAAAAAGTTATAGGATATTAGAACTACATTCTTATTTTCTTTATTATTAAAGTATAAAATAAAATTTAATTTAATACTTACAGCCACATTTCATGATTAAATGCATTTCTCTTCTCTGGCCTATTTAACTTAACATGATATACAAATTCTTTGGGTACGCTTACAGCTAATGTTTTAAAAGCCAGTGAAGACATTTTAGAGGTACCTAAAAGTGGACAAACAGTGAATCTAATTACTACACCTATAATTCAGACATTGTACCTATGAGGTTAATTAAATTTGCTGATTTGCTCAGTACTCCATGCATTGTTATTGTACTTTTATGAGATTTTCAAACACTCGCGGTAAACTTAAAACTGAAAAATACTTTTTAATTTTATTTATATTTATAAATATCAAGTTGTTGACTCAATTTGGTTTCTTCCTAAGTTCAAGTACTTTCTTTTTCTTATTTCCATATTCCATAGATCAAAAATCAAAGTGCAAATCTATAGAATAAGTTGGAATAAGTGCCGAGAATTTGACATAAACGTCATGTCAAATTGGTGTCTGCGGTATTGCCATGTCCTTATTAGTTAATGTTTTATGCCTCAAATATGCTTTGAAACACTACATTTTTATTATATTATTTTATGAAATCGGGTATTTTTTAAAATTTTTTGAATTTATATGAAACACGAACGAATGAATATTTGTTTCTTTTGATATTAGTTGCAGTTGGTTATTAGAAAAAAAAAATTATAATTGGCCTTTGGTAGATTAGTAAAAAAACTTGGCAATACTGTCAAAATTTTGAAAACAGTAGTTGCCAGATGTTTAGCAGATTTCAATTTTATGATTTTTATGACTATTTTCTTATAATTCTGGGGTGAAATCATGATATAAGGAAACATGGTATGCTCACGCGCATCTATTTTGAACAGCCAATCGCGTTTACGACCAAAATCCGCCATTTTGAAGGCGGCAATTCAAATATGTAAATAATTTGATAAAAAATATCGTAGTTAAACTAAATAAAATAAAATTAATATTCTACATTAATCCAATTAATTCAGATTTAAAATGATCTGAACAGACTCTTGCTAAAATAATTTTAAAAAGATCGAAACAAATTTACTTTTAAATTCCAATACATTGCAAAGTAAGGTTAAAAATGCAGAACAAAGCAGACGTCAAGCATGTAGAGGTGGTTGATCCAAGTATTTTTGTGGATCAGGTCAAACTGATACGCGTAAACAAATATACCTGTTAAAAAATACTGGTTTGGAAATCAGTTTGTTATCATTCGTTTAATAGATATCTAAACATAACAACAACATTATTTGTATTTTGTTAGATTTCTTCATAGTTATTTAAATGACTGTTTAACTTCAAATACTTAAATTACTGTTCAGAGATTGTATAAAAAGTTCATAAAAAAATGGCGATAGTTTTGTCTACTTCACGCCAATTGTCATCTGTTGATATTTATCTAAAGCTTTGTAAACGTTGAGAAATGCACGATAAAAATTAAGGACAAATGCAATGAAACCCGTACTCGTTTATTATAATATATTGGTGTTAGGGATCAGTTCCACATGTATAAATAAAATACATGTTCCAAAGTAACTGGTACGGGATCAGGTCACCATCCCTACACGCACGGACATATTGAAAAGATGGTGGATTGTGGATTTTGGTCGGCGCAGAAATGTGCAAAAACGAGTCCACCTAGTGAGCATACCTTGTTTCCTTATATCATGGGTGAAATGGTACCTGAATATTGTTTTGTTAATGTATTAGCTAGTTACTGGAGATTGTTCAGATCGATATTTTTTCAAATTTACGTTGCAGAGATTAAATTATCATTATTGACAATTTAATCCTTAAAATGTGAATAACAAAGTAAAAATATATCGGTAAAGATGTTTAATTAACTTAAATAACTTAAGAATTTAAAAGCTTAAAAAATTAAAGTTAATTTGAATTATAATAAATTAAATTTAAATTAATTAAACTTCTTTCAAAAGCTTAAAAAGAATGTTGAACATTAATTAATATTATATCGCATGCTCTTTCAGGATTTATTTGTGATATGACAACACTGCCAAATACAGATCTGGCACTAATCTTCTGTCAGTTCCTCGGCACTTGTTCTATAGGTCTGCCAATCAAAGTCCAAAAGCCACTCAGCCCAAAACTACAATAATTATTAATAATTAATTATATAATTAATTATACAAAATACAATACTTGGTTCGCTAAACCCAGTCCGAACCACGTCCGAGCTGTTGTTCGGTGCTGTTATCAGCTATCAACTATTTGACAGCTGGGAAACTGTTTGTCAACTGATGAGTGTGAATGCCGGCAACATATTTGTATTAAAGAATATTTTGTATGACGGATTGTTCGGTTTGGCGCAATCACTGTGACGAGACGTGACTGATGTGTCTGAATCGACCAGGACTGTGACCTTAAGGTCGATTCAGACACATCAGTCCCGTCATAGTCTCGGCGCCGAACCGGTCCAATTTGGTCACAGAACTATCTGACAACTGGGAAACTGTTTGTCAACTGATGAGTGTGAATGCGACGCCATATTTCTATTAAAGAATATTTTGTATGACGGATTGTTCGGTTCGGTGCCAGGACTGTGACCTTAAAGGTCGATTCAGACACATCAGTCACGTCATCGTCACGGCACCGAACCGGTCCTGTTTGGTCACAGAACTATCAACTATCTGACAGCTGGCAAACTGTTTGTCAACTGATGAGTGTGAATGCTGGCGCCATATTTGTATTAAAGAATATTTTGTATGACGGATTGTTCGGTTCGGTGCGATCACTGTGACGAGACGTGACTGATGTGTCTGAATCGACCTTAAGTCGATTCAGACACATCAGTCCCGTCATAATCTCGGCGCCGAACCAGTCCTGTTTGGTCACAGAACTATCAACTATCTGACAGCTGGGAAACTGTTCGTCGCCTGATGAATGTGAATGCCGACGCCATATTTCTATTAAAGAATATTTTGTATGACGGATTATTCGGTTCGGTACCAGGACTGTGACGAGACGTGACTGATGTGTCTGAATCGACCTTAAAGTCACAGTCCTGAACAATCCGTCATACAAAATATTCTTTAATAGAAAGATGGCGTCGGCATTCACATTCATCAGGCGACGAACAGTTTCCCAGCTGTCAGATAGTTGATAGTTCTGTGACCAAACAGGACCGGTTCGGCGCCGAGATTATGACGGGACTGATGTGTCTGAATCGACCTTTAAGGTCAATTCAGACACATCAGTCACGTCTCGTCACAGTGATTGCGCCGAACAGAACAGTCCGTCATACAAAATATTCTTTAATACAAATATGTTGCCGGCATTCACACTCATCAGTTGACAAACAGTTTCCCAGCTGTCAGATAGTTGATAGTTCTGTGACCAAACAGGACCGGTTCCATTATCCACCGGACCAATTACGAACCAAATTTAACTTAAAGATGCAGTAGCAGTAAACAAACCAAGACACATTATCAACATTATGAATATTACGAGGAGCAATCCCAAATCATGATTTACAATGTATAAACGTACATAATATCCACCTCATAAACTATATAAATAGACATCCTATACGAACCTCAAGTATTAACAGCATACCATATCATTTAGTAGTCCTTGTACGCGGAAGAATTGCTATAACTTAGTTGGACCACTGTTGTTCTAGTGATAATATTTTAGCCAGGGCGTGCGCCAGGGAATTATACTGCTTGAATTTATTCATTTATAGTTATAATAAATGTTATCATTTATATTTTATGATCAGAAGAATAACAAAGATAAAATCAACTTAATAAATGTTACACAATAAGGTTTTCCAACAACATAATGTGAATTCGTCATTGTAATGCATTGAATTAATATAATTAAATTAAATATGTAAAAATTGTTTTAAAATTAAATGTAATATCTAATAACGGTTCCCAACCAAACGGACAAAATAAAAACAAAACACAAACTCGTGTACAATAAAACAAAATAGCAACTTTTCACAAACTTTTTAAAGACTGGCGTGTTTTGAAACAGTTCGTTTTGTTTTTCGAGTCCCGAGTTTTTGAAACTCGAGTCTGTTTAGTGGAAACGGTCAGTTGTGTATTAATGGACTACCTCACCTCTGCAGTCACAATGGGCGGGGCTTCGAAAACCTTTCTAAACATTTCTACACTAAATACAAGATAGAGCTGCAGTAAGTATAAATAAACCGTCAACAGTATGAATGTTACGAGGGGCACTCTCAAATCATGATTTTAACGATGTATAAACCTATATTTTCCTGTATTATGTAATGCATATGAAAATATGAAGTAGACATCGTAGCATAAGTTGCGGCCGACCGTATGATTTATAGTCATTATATTTATAGTGATAATTGACTCAATCAAAGCCTCTGGTTGAGTTCAAAATAAACAACTGATTGAATCCTAACATGCAACATAGAAAATGAAAGGGGAGGGGATAACGATTATATTAAGATAGACAAAACAAACAAGACGACTACCAAAAGGGCACTACACAGCATCTTCGTTATTAATGGACGTATAGTTACATACGAGATATCATAGGGCACTATGGATGAAAATAAATTTACTATAAGACAAGTTTTCATTTATTGACTTCAAGGAGGCCTCTGGTTGACTAAAAAATAAACAACTGATGGAATCCTAACATGCGACATAGCAAATGAAAAGGGACGATATAACGAATCTATTAAGACATGTATAGTAGCCTCGTATTTCCGTGAGACTGTGCAAAAATATATGTATCTGTAATAAAATCATTCAACAAAAAGGTACTCTACCAGGAGTCTGTAAAATTATCAATGACTCAGACGTATAATAATACAAAGTTTCCAAATTCCACTCGATATTAACATTCAGACGTGCCTGGTATAATCTTTTAAAATATGAACGAGATATGAACAATCATCCAATTAAGTTTTCATCGAACTTATGACAAGTCCACGTGGACTAACGGCCAATGAAAACGTCGGATATCGCTGTTAGGACAAATCATATTGCATTATCTTTTCTCGGTAGGCTTATTCATACTTGGGGTAAGATTATATCAGTATTTGACTGAGCTTACGGAGTCATATAAAATAAGGGATCAGGTTTCGACCGTCCAGTGCCGAAGGCACGGGACGGGAAAACTTAGGTAGGCAAATTTTTATAATATTTTATTTTTAAATTGCGGATATGAACAACAGATTTTTGGGAGACAAGAATATTTTTAGTAAAATCATAACTGCTACAGCGTTCAGTTAAATTCAAATTTCAAATAGTGAACCGCAAGTTAGTTTGGTAGTGACTTTTTTCAGTGTTCTTTATACGAAAAACATTTTATATTTTACGTTTTTTACTTTTTTTGATACGTTTTTACGTGATTATGTTTTTATACGTTTGATAATTTTAAAATATTGCGTCTGTGGTGCGATAATAATTATGTAGC